TCTTATGCCCAATTTATTTTTCTTTTTATTTTTTATTTTTTTATTTTTTGCTTTTATTTTATTTTTTATGTCTTTATCTAGTAAATATTATTACCTTTTTACCAATTTGTTAAAAATAACTTATGTTCTCTTTAAAAATGATGATAAATCTATTATTTTTATTTGATAAAAAACTTAAATTTGAAATTAACTTTAAACGGGGCGGAGACTATGTTTCCCGTACCCGTCCCATACCCGTTTTGGGGCAATAACCATTGCCTTGTCCTCGCCACGTTTACCCGGTTAGGCGGGTAATCTCCGTTCCATTTGAGGCGGGCCCCACGGGTATTGGATTGAACGAGTTTTTTTGCCATCCCTATATCACACCTTTTAAAATTTGAAATTAACTAGAAAAATACATAAAAATAATTAGTTTGTTGAAAATGGGGAAATGTTTCTTTGCTAAAAAAGAAAGGTCGAACATCTAATTCATATATTATATTATTTTATTTGTTAGAATTGGACCCGACAACGTTTGTATTTCAAGTTTTTGTAAGAGATAGGGAACATAAAATTATTAATGCAAAATTCATTTTCTATTATTTTATTGTCTTCTTGCAAATAAACTTTAGGGACAATTGCAGCAAAAGTCCAAAACATTTGAAATACTAACAGATTTTTTTCAAACCTTTGATTTGTTGTATCCGTCACCCGTAACATTTTCAAACATTGCAGGTGGAGTCCTTCTGGACATTTTTCATCCACAATTTCATTAGTTGATCAAAAATTTAACTTTAATTAGTTTAATTATTTAATATGATAACTATAAAGTTATTTTTTGCCCATTTTTAAAATATTATAAATATGATCAAAGTTAAATTTTTAGTCAACTAACAAAATTGTGGATGAAAATTGTCCAAAAGGGATTCACATGTAACATTTCGAAAGGTTGGGAGTGACGACTGCAACAAATCAAACATTTGAAAATCTACTAATATTTCAAAAATTTGGAGCTTTTACTGCAATTATCTCTAAACTGTAGTATGTACTTTTCATAACTTTACTTTTTAGCCAGCCCTCCCCCGCCCCCAAGAAACTCCGAAAGCTTCTAAACAAATAAAAATGGAAGGCGAAACCTAATCAAAATTTCCAGCCCAACTTCTCAACAGATCTCTCTCTCTATATTTATCTTCAATCACTCAATTTCATTGACTTTAGCTAGTTTTTGTACAATGTTACCGAAGCAATCAGATAATGGAATGGAAGGCGACGACGAGAGAGAAGAAGAATCAGAAGAAGAAAATTCGGAGGCTGAGGAAGAAGAGGAAGATGAACCGAGGCTTAAATACCAGAGAATGGGTGGCAGTGTTCCCACGCTACTCCAAAGCGATGCAGCTTCATGTATTGCCGTTGCTGAACGCATGATCGCGCTCGGTACCCATAGCGGCTTGGTTCACATTCTCGATTTCATTGGCAATCAAGTTAGTTTTTTTTTTTTTATTCTCATTTTGTTGAGTCAATTTTGTTTTTAATTAGTTGGTAATGGTGTTTTGTTTGATTCAGTTAGATATTAAGGCTGATCAATGATCATTAGTGGGATTTTGGATAGATTTTGACTTATAGTTAGCAGTTTTGTTAAGAGAATTATGGGTGATCTGGATATGTTACTACAAAGTTTCTAGTACCCCCCGGAAGTCCCTGCTAGCATTAATGTCTCTATGACAATTAAATCGTGGGTCCCAAATATTTATCACAAATGTTAATTAGGCTGGGAGTATGGAGTATCCATACTCCAGGAGTACTAGAAATTGTTCTGCTATGTTGGTACTTTTTGTCCTAGGGATATAGTTGGTTGAATAGGAAGGTGAATTGGATAACTGGGAAATGCTATAATTAGTGGTTTGACTCACCGTTGAAATCCTTGATTGAGCTGACGCTGATTGAACTTTTGTCTTAGAATTTTGCTCGTCAATTCTTATGAACATAATATTTTTTTCTTATATAAAGAAAAAGAACTATTTTCAGTTTTATTGCACATATACAGACATGGAAACATACATGAGCTTGCAAGAAATTGATGCTGTCCAAGACTGTCACTAGGACATGAAAGAAATAGATAATGGTTAGCTGAAGATCTTTTGTGCTGGGAAAGTTCACAATTTCATTCGATGAAAGTGCCAGGACCCTCTCTTAGCTGAACGCACTAGGGATTGGTTTTAATTATATCGGAGAATGAGAAATGTTTCAGGAGTAATTGTGTAAGTTATATGTGGATTACCTTTGCTAACTTTAACATGTTTTTAATTTAAATATTGCATGTTCACTCGTCATTAAAAAGAAATCTATTTTGTAGGTGTTGGTTAACAAATTCCTTTATCAACTATGCCATGGCTTTGACTTTTTACTGAAATCGACAATTTTTATGTTGATAAACTTGTGCACGTTAGTTTTTAGCTTCAAGAATTCAGAGTCAAAATGGAAGCGTTGGAGATTTTACTTGCATTAAATGATTGGACGGAATATTTCACTTCCAACTCAAGCACCGTCTATGTTGTTTTTCTATCCCAAAATAATTTTACCTCAGTTCAATCATTTATGTCTCAAGAGAATCAGTTAAATGACTTACTATACCTGCAGCCTGTAGGAGTCACCTCTACATTATGCTGCTGAAGCACAGAACAAATCTCCAATAGCTCAACAATTTCATAATCCGTAAAATACCTAATAATGATATTTTTCACTTATAAAATGGTAGGTTGCTTTGGTTCATATACTGTTGAATTTCCAACTCCTATTTCTATTCCTATTCCGAGTTCTGCATACATGACTTTAAAATTGGAAAACTGAGTCGTGAGTACCTGAGCTAAACTAATCCAGAGTATTTGGAACTCAAATTAGGACTCAGATAAACATCAATATTCTAGCTTACAAATGTGGGCCAATATTGTAGTCATACAGCTGAAAATCCTTTGCCTTCAAATTCCTTAGTATCAGATAAATGCCACTTGGCACATTTGTTCTTTTGTCACCCTTCATTATGCACAATCCATCGTCTGAGTTCTTAAATGGGGACTGTGTTTTATTTTATGACATTATTGTCTGATTAGGCAGCCTCATGCTTGAAATTTGAAATGAATAATAAATTTCCTCTTCTACAGGTTAAAGAATTTTCTGCTCATTCTGCTGCAGTCAATGATATCTGCTTTGATGTAGAAGGTGAATACATTGGAAGCTGTTCTGATGATGGTTCTGTTGTAATAAATAGTCTTTTCACCGAGGATAAAATGCAATTTGAGTATCACCGTCCTATGAAGGCCATTGCATTAGACCCAGATTATGCAAGGAAATCATCCAGAAGATTTGTGACTGGAGGTCTAGCTGGTCATGTATATTTTAATGTCAAGAAGTGGATAGGCTATCGAGATCAGGTTTGTTTAGTTTCCCAAGCAATTCTACTTTTAGCCCATGCCAATTCAAAGGACACGGAGCTTTCTGAAATCTTGATCTCAGTGAAATAATCATCCTGTTTACAGGTTCTGCACTCTGGTGAAGGTCCAATTCACGTAGTGAAGTGGAGAAGTAGTCTCGTTGCTTGGGCTAATGATGCAGGTGTTAAAGTTTATGATGCAGCTAACGATCAACGTATAACATTCATTGAAAGACCTCGAGGAAGCCCCCGCCCTGAGCTTTTGCTCCCTCATTTAGTTTGGCAGGTTAGTAGAAAATAAACAATGTATGGAACATTATTTGAAGTTCTATGAAAAGTGGAATGGTCTGAAAGAGGGACATAACTTTATTGTTGAATGCTATGCAATTAGTAACTAAAAATATTATACGTGGTATTACTTTTGATTTAGATAATACTGTTTCTCTTAACATATTCTACATCACATTCAGGACGATACTCTGTTGGTCATTGGGTGGGGAACATCTGTTAAAATTGCATCAATTGGAACCAATCAGAATACAGGCGCCAGTGGGACATTGCCAATGTCTAGCATGAACAAGGTGGATATTGTGGCATCTTTTCAAACCACCTATTTCATTTCAGGAATTGCTCCCTTTGGTGATTCTTTGGTTGTTCTAGCCTACATCCCTGGAGAAGAAGATGGAGAAGACTTCTGTAGCACTGTTCCATCACGGCAGGTATTTGACTTCTTCTTCCCTCAGAGTGTTGGTGAATCATTTTGGATTGTCTATTTAGTTGTCTGTTATCTTTGTTACTGATTAAATCACGTTCTTATCCCATCTTTTAGTGCTATGTTTAGTGGAAATTATAGCGTGTTGTCAAACATTAGCCCACCTTTTTGGGTAAATGGTGGTGTAAATTTGTAATACGAAAGTGCTCCATCTAATCATGCTTTATTCTTTTCCTTTCAATGGAGATCACAAATTCTTTAGATTTTACGCACATGAAACATGAATTATTTCTCTCTCCTGCTTTCTACCTATTTTTGGGATTTTTTTTACATTTCTTTTGCATGTTTCCTATATTTTATCATTGTTTCCCTTTTTTTAGTTTTTCAAAGCTGGCATTTGTAGGCCCATAACATGTAAATTTGTAATAGCAGGGGAATGCACAGAGACCAGAAGTGCGAGTAGTCACTTGGAATAATGACGAGCTTGCGACAGATGCACTACCTGTACATGGCTTTGAGCATTACAAGGCTAAAGATTATTCACTTGCCCATGCTCCTTTCTCAGGTATATTTTGGTTGTCTATGAAGTTTCATCAATAATAGATGACTATAGTCCGTTGGTCATTATTTTCTGGTTCTACTTGTAATGTTGTAAATAGAGTTGCTGTGAAAGAGATGATGTTTGTGCATTTGAATGTAGGTAGCAGCTATGCAGGAGGTCAGTGGGCTGCTGGTGACGAGCCATTTTATTACGTTGTGTCGCCAAAGGATGTAGTTATTGCTAAACCTAGGTTGTTGACTCTTTTCCTTCACTTCCATTAAATATTACCTTCTATTTATGTGTGATTATATTCGCGGTGCATTGATAATATGAAAATTACTTCTCGTTTCATGTGGAATTCAATCAATGCGACCTATTCTGGTCCTTCCTAGTTATCTGTTTGTATATTCATCAGATGAGAGCTTTTGAGGATCGCTTGATGTAGGCTTAAGCTTGCTGGTAAATTTTCGGCATCAGTAATTACTAGATGTCATATGTCCGTGGGATTTTCCTCATTCAGAGTACCTTATATGTGGTTATTTAGTTCGAAAGGTGTCTAAAAAATATAGACGCTGAAGCAACCAATTAATGATTGTATGGAGTTTTTCACTGATCCACATCTATTCATTCTGTTGATATTTACTATAAGATTCTTCATTTTGTTATCATTCTTTATTGCTTCGTCATTGTTCTAGATGTCTGGTATGTGATTTTAAGTACAATGGCAGTATAAGTCTCTCCTTGTTCTACACAAAAACAGAAAAATAGAAGGGGGAAAAAAAAGAGAGAAACAAGAAAAAGGAGGTTATCTAGTCTGCAGTACTATGCTTGTACTTATCTATGATTTCATGCAAATAAAGGTTATGAATATATAAGTTGTAAACTTATTTAGTTATTTTGTTGTTAGGGATGCAGAAGATCACATATCTTGGCTCCTTCAACATGGGTGGCATGAGAAAGCCTTAGAAGCAGTTGAAGCAGGGCAGGGACGCAGTGAGCTTGTTGACGAGGTAATATGTTTGATTGCATCTTTGGCTGTCATTGTTTGACCAGTGATGCTACACTGTATTATCAGTTGTGCTTTCATTGTTCTTTGTCTTACTTTGTATTCATTCTCTGTGCACTTTTTAGGCAACAAATTGATTGCTATGAGATTTCTTCAGAGTAAGGTCTAATATTATTATATGCTTATGTCTATACTGATTCTTGGCTAACTCATTTTTGTTTCAATTGAACAACCATGACTCGAGAAGTGTCATAAATTCAACTCTTAATTTTCTGGAAATGTAGTTCGTAAAAATGTCTGACACTCGTACATAAAAAAGTAAAAACACGTAAATGAATGGAATCCTTAATCAAGCGAGCAAGGTAATCTTTTAGGCTTACTTCATTGCATTTTTTACACAAGGAGATGCCTCATGTTGGAAATTATGTGATTTAAGAAGATCAATGAGAGGGAGTGGAAAATGAGTACAGTGAAATTGTTATTAGTTTCTAATGGCGTCAAATGGCACCCACAAATTTCCAAGATCATTTGTTTTCTGCTGATTTGGTTGCAAATGCGTAGTTATGAAGACCAATTACTGTTTGACAAACTAAGTTTAATTGTTCTTCGTAACTATGCATTTGCAACCAAATCAGCATCTGCTTTCCTGTTTATGTTGAGCTTGAATTGCATGCTCTTTTGTTGTTAATGAATGAAGAAGCTGTCAATTAACAACTTCTATTTTAGAAAGGAATTCATAAAATTGAATTTTTTTCAAGAAATAATAAATTTTGTACAATTGTATCTTGTACGACTACTTCTGCTTCCATGAAGCTTCAATGGGCAAAACTAGAAGACAATAGTTCATAGCAGAGCTTTTGTTTGATTCTTAGATTTTTGGTATTTAGTGAAAGCTTTTTATGCTGATTAGAAAATCGTGTCTGCATTATTAATCTTGATAGAGATACTGTTGTCTTGTAAAAAGTATGACTTTTAGTTTGGTTTTTGATACGATGTCTACATGCTTATTGTGGAAAAAAGATTTTGCAGAATCTGCGCGTTCATTTTAAACTCATGAATTTTCCAAGTTGTTTACTGTCATGTCAACATGACAGCTTCTTTCTGACATATTCTTGAAAATATACATTCTGAGATTGTTAACTCCAAATAGGTGGGTTCGAGATATCTTGACCATCTAATCGTGGAACGGAAATATGCTGAAGCTGCCTCATTATGTCCCAAATTGTTACGAGGATCAGCTTCTGCATGGGAAAGGTACTTGTGTGTGCGTGCTTGCTTGTAATGTTTATATGTGTATGACCTTTGCAGTTCTGTTTAGTAACTGAAGGATGGTTACTTTCAGGTGGGTTTTCCATTTTGCTCATCTTCGTCAGCTTCCTGTATTAGTTCCATACATGCCAACAGAAAATCCAAAATTACGTGACACTGCTTATGAGGTCTGTAATGCTTATGATTGTCTGCGAACTCACCTGATGCATCTTTTTCTTTTGTTGATATGTGAAACCGGAAGCTGAAGCCTGAATTGTTTGTGACTCTAGGTTGCTCTTGTCGCTTTGGCAACAAACCCATCCTTCCATACGGATCTTCTGTCAACTATTAAATCTTGGCCGCCTGTAATTTATTCTGTTTTGCCCATTATCTCCGCGATAGAACCTCAGCATAATACATCGTCTATGACTGATGCACTCAAAGAGGTTAGCCCTGAGAAATTTTATCTATCTCATGCATTCTTGCTATACATTTACAGTGTTACATCCATGTCAGGCTCTGGCTGAGCTATATTTGATTGACGGACAATATGAGAAAGCTTTTGCCCTATATGCTGATGTAAGTCAGTTCATGACTTTTTTTATTACTATCACACCTCATCAAATGCATCCTTAAAATGCCACTTGGAATAAAATGCCACTTGCAAGGATGCTTTGCCTATATTATGGTTTTAAGGGCTTGTTACATTCTCTGTTTCATTTGTTTCTGCGTGTTTCAGCTTATGAAGCCGGATGTATTTGACTTCATTGAAAAACACAATTTACATGATGCAATTCGTGAAAAGGTACTTTCTGAATTTCATTTGATATTATCTTTTGCATATCTCAAGAATAAAGTTTTAATCTTTTGCATTTTTGAACAAGGGACCACTCGTCCTCAAATTTTTTATATCCTTTATCCCATCAATAAAATCCCATATAAAAAAGAATACACATGTTCCTGTTAATTAAGTCATTATGATTGCATGAATTTTTCATTGATTCACGTGTGTTTGCAGGTTGCACAACTTATGATGATAGACTGCAAACGTGCAATTCCACTGTTGATCCTGCATAGAGACCTAATTAGTCCACAGGATGTTGTGTCACAACTTATGGCTGCAAAGAATAAGTTTGACGTCCGACACTTTTTGCATCTGTATCTGCATTCACTGTTTGAGTCAAATCCACATGCCGGAAAGGATTTTCATGACATGCAGGTTTGTAGTAATTGGTTCACTTTTCTTTTGACTCTTTTGGAGTGGTAGCCATCTAAACTTGCTTTGGAATGGCTTATCATTAATATCTCATGTCTTATTAATCTTTAAAGACCAATTGGGGGACTGTGTTCATATGAAAATCATATGCATCCTTTTGCCTTTAGCTTTTTATTCAAATTGGAAGGCAAAAAATTACAATAACGTAGGAAACAAAAAAATTTAAGTAAAAAGCATGGTCTGTCATGACTATTTCTGCATTATAACATGTACTGCAGAAATATACGTGTCATTACATGGGTGCTTGTAGAATCTGTATTTGCTTTAAAATGTTGGGCAACATGGCGAGTCATTAGGACTATTCGTCATTATAACTTTTCTGTTCTAGTTATACCTGTGTTCGCACATTGATCTCTTGTGCTGCGCGAAAATGCTTTAGAATTTGGTCCATTAAACCATATGGAAACGCTGGACTTGTCACTGTTTCCACATTATGGCTAATCATACTCAGTTGAAGTTTCTGGTTGGGTTACCAAAATGCTACTCAACAGATGGCCAAGGAACTTCGGTGCTTGTTTTTTGTTGGACTGCATCACAAGGAGAAAAATAAGTCTCCACTAGACCAAACAATCTGACCTTCTTGCAGAGGCTGAACTGTTAATTGATGTTCTCTTTGTTCAGCCACCCGGTCTGGGGAAATTTTGAGATGCATTATCGTCAGAATTCGTGGAAATGCCATGAAACTTGAAAAAAGTAAGGTTGATAATAATGGGTTCGATGGGAAATGGAAAATTAAATGGGAAGGAAGACAATTTTTGGTTAGACGAACAGAGTCAGGCCTCATATTAACCCTTTGTTTGAAGTATATGCCTTTGTAGCTCATAATCTTGAATTTTCAGAAAGATAGGTCTTGAGGATGATTTATGTATATATTTGTGGATATACGGATTTGGACGAAGTGTAACTCAAGGCTTCTAGGGGCCAGGTTGAATACGTGTTCAAGTAGTTGACTAAATTGGTCTGATTAGTTGACATTTTGAATCATGATATATTCTGCAAGTAGAACGAGTTTTCTTGGTTTCTGAGGCATTTAGGATTTTAAATTGATTAGAATCTTACAAGAGTATTTTTTGTGTATACGGCTCCTCTCTAATGCCCATTCCTTCAAATTCTCTGACTTGTATATCATATGACATTAATTTGCGCGATACTGTGCTTTTGGGTTTTATGCCAATCTACATTAGCATATACAATTAAAAAATTGAGTGGAAGTGTTATGGAGAGGATATATGTCCTTGATATGATGTCGTCTTCGTCATTGAGTATGCATTGCAAGTTCCTCCGGTCAGCTTCATTATTTCTATTAGTTTAAGACATATAGCACACCAACTTCATCATAACAAGATAAAGAAAGCTTTCTTTTATTTTGGCTCGTGACAGCCACCAGCTACATTTGTCTGGAACGAACTGGCTGTTACTGCAGTTTCAATAGCTTGTCTTGTATTTTGTGTTAAATTATTTTTTAACAGGATATGTTGTCTTAACATTTCTTTCTTTGATTTGGAATTCTTTCATCAGGTTGAGCTCTATGCTGATTACGATAAAAAAACGCTGCTTCCATTTCTTCGTAGTAGTCAGCATTATACACTGGAAAAGGTTTGTTCCTTGAGTGGGTAATTCTCTATAATCTTCCATCACCTGCCATATCTAAAACTTCATGAAATTTATCTCAGGCATATGACATTTGTGTCAAAAGAGATTTATTGAGAGAGCAAGTCTTTATCCTTGGAAGGATGGGAAACTCAAAGCAAGCCCTAGCAGTAATTATTAATAAATTGGGGGATATTGAAGAGGTGCCTCTCTCTGTTCCCATAAATTAATTCATTTTCTGTTTTTCAGTTTGAAATTGCTTAGTGACAGGAGATCTTATTATTTTGTGCAGGCCATTGAGTTTGTAAGTATGCAGCATGATGATGACCTCTGGGAAGAGTTGATTAAACAATGCCTGAATAAACCTGAGATGGTAATCTGTGGGCTCTTAATGCTAATCAAATGCTATCGCAAAAGCATTATTACTACATTTTGAAATTTTTTTTGTCTTTTTGTGCTGGTTTTATTTAATTTTATTCGTTGGCAGGTCGGGGTATTGTTGGAGCATACTGTTGGCAATCTTGATCCCCTATATATTGTAAATATGGTGCCAAATGGCTTGGAGATTCCTCGGTAAGTATGTTTTCTACATTTTTTTGTTCTTTTTTTGCTTTGTTCAGGTTGTTAGTTTGCATGTCTTCTTTCTTCAATTACATGAACAGTTTCCATGTCAAATTTCATATGGATGAAAAGCATTTTGGTTTTTTGCTGGGTTTGTTACTTAACCCAGGTTGACATGTCAATTGCCTATTCATTTAGACAAACTGGGTCATAAAGTCAAATGTTCAACATGCGAAAATATTGTAAAATTTTTGTTTTCGGTTCTCAACATGACCCTACTTTGTGTAGTACTACAAAGCTATTATATTTTGCCTGCAAAGTCTGAATTAACCTGGAAAGAATCCACCGTACCTAAATGATTGCTCTTGCATTTATCGACTCATCTGTGTAGCCTGATCTAAGGTGTTTCTTTTTAATGTAATATATGGTGGGAAAATCCATAAAATGCTTTTATTAGCTATTACTACTTGCTAGATATCTGGAAGTGTATTTTGTGGTACTATTAAAACACTTAGATGCTGTTTTGATTTGATCTATGGATGAGTATGCAAGGTGATGGACCTATTACTCAATGTTCTAACTTCTAATCCTTCCAAGTCAAATTTGTATTCTTCCTGGCACTGTAGTCATGACGTTTACATTTATATGCACTCCCTCCAAGATTGTGCAGTTTCATTTAATTTGCTCAATTGTTGACCCGTTCTTTCTCAGATTGAGGGATCGTCTAGTCAAAATCATCACCGACTATAGGACAGAAACTTCTCTTAGACACGGGTGCAATGACATACTCAAGGTAATTTTCTTGCCCTTGATTACTTCTGATAAAATTATATTCACAATTGCTTGATACTTCCATTTTACTTGCAGGCCGATTGTGTTAATTTGTTAATCAAGTACTACAAAGAAGCAAGACGAGCTATTTACTTGAGCAATGAAGAAGACGGAGCACGCAGTAAAAGGGACAAAAACAGGGCTTCTCAGTTTGCAGATAGATATTTGAGCGTGAGGAGCATGGAGGTGAAGTCGAAAACACGTGGTGGCACTAGATGCTGCGTCTGTTTTGATCCATTTTCTATACAAAACGTGTCGATTATTGCTTTCTTTTGCTGTCATGCTTACCACACGACGTGTCTTATGGATTCCACCATTTCCATTAGTCAGCAGCAAAAGAAGCCACCAACTCCAACCAAGCCCCCAGATGAATTATCATATTACGAATATGACAATGGAGGCGCTGAGAATGATGAGGACGAGGATGCTTCCTTGGGTTCTCCTCAAATGCGTTGTATCTTGTGTACTACCGCTGCAGGATGAGCTTCTTGTGTTTTGTGTTCGTGTGTACGATAGTCTTAAGCGTGGCGTGTGCATAAATGAGGCAGGCCTTGTAAGCTACTCCCTCCGGCCCATATATATATGCTCACTTTCCTTATTTTCTTCTTCTAATTATATAGTTTTATTTCTTTATTGAGAATGTTTTGTTTTGTTCGTTTAGTAATATATCCTTATTTAATTTGTCTAGTTATAATCAATTTACTACTAGTTGTTGATAATTAAATAAGGTTTAACTAGGAAAGTTTTTGGTAAAAATTATTTTTTCAATAATGTTAAATAAGATTTCTTAATTTGTGTAAAAAAACAAAACAAACTTATATAAATGG